ACCCCCCCCCCCCGGTGCCAAACCTTCCAGGATGAGGCCATAAGCCCCCCCTGCAGCACTCCCACCGCTGGGGGTGTAGATCGTCCCCCCCCCCGCCCAGAGACACGGCTGCAGCCCGGTGTCCTGGCCAGAGTGAGGGGGGGGGCTCCGTTCCCTCCCCTGGGCTGCCCCCTCGTGTCCGAGCCGGGGCACTGCTGGCTGTGTGGCCAGCCCCCCCCCCCCCCCCCCCTGGCTTCCCCCCCCCACATGGCCGTGTTTGCTGTGGGGGGGCATGCCTGACCTCCCCATTCCCCCTTTCCGGAGACCACCCATCGGGCAGCGCACGAGTTCGCTCTGCCAGCAAATGCTTACCAGGCAACTCCCCGCAGAGGCACCCAATCTTTTTTGGGGGACGCCGTGGCCCAGGATCCCCCCCAGGTGCGAGTGGCGAGTGCAGGGACAGGCACGGCCGCCGGTGGAGCGCCAGGGGACCAGATCGGGGCCAGCCCTCCACGGCACCCCCCCAGCCCGGCGCCCACTGCGTTGGTGGCCCCCTCCCCGTTCCCGGGGGGGGCGGCAGGAGGGGGCACGAGAGAAGAGCCCGGCCGGGGCTGCCGATCCGCGTTTTTTGGCTTCACTGGTTTATTTTGTTCCGCAGACAAAAGGGGGCGGGGGGGGGCTAGTCTGGATACCCGTAGCAACTTCAGCAGCAGCTTAGTATATTAATAACAATAATTAGAATCAGTGAGTGTTTTTAAGGAAAATACAGCAGCAGGCCCGTCCCCCCCCCCCGCAGGCGCTCGGGGTCTGCGCAGCAGCCGGTCCCCCCCAGGGCAGCTTTGGGGGCCCCGGCGCCGCTGGGGGACACGGGGGGGGCGGCCGACTCGGGGCAGCAGCAGTCCGGGAGGGGCTGGGAAAAGCGGCCCGCACGGGCCAGGGAGACCCCGGGTGGGGGGCAGCGGCCGTGAGGTGTCCCTGGCGCCCCACAGGTGTGGCGGGCAAGCTGGTCCCCCGTGGGCACAGGCCGAGGGGGCTGCTGGCCCGTTGGAGCCCCGCCGGGGGAAGGTCTCCGCGCCTGGGGGGAACGCGCCCAGCCGAGCCGCGCTCTGGGGGGGGCCGGGGGAGGAGCCGAAAGCCGGGCGCCGAGGGGAGGGCGAGTGCGTTGGGGGCGGAGGGGGCTCCAGACCCCGGGGGCGGCACGTCGGGGGAGGCGGGAGCAGCCCTGCGGCAGCCCCCCAGCTAAAAAATACAGGGCCAACTTCTCTGGAAAATGGGAACGGCCCCCCTTCCCCACCATCGCCCTGCCTCTGGCTGGCAGGAGGGGGGCCGGGGGGGGCAGAGGGCAGCTCCCGGGGCACTGCGCAGTCCCGCACTTTGCTGGGGATGATGGGCACGCAGCTTTGGCAAGGAAGCCCACCGTGGTCCGGGCGGGGGGCCCTCCCTTCGGGGCTGCGTGCCTTCCCCCTGCCGCGGGGCTGGGCCCCCCAAGCGAGGCCCCAGAAGACGAGACTCCCCGGGATCCGGCGCAGCACCCCGTTAAGGCAACACGCGACACGCAGGGGCGCCCGGCCTTCGCCCCCACGGGGCCGGAATGGCCGGGAAGACCTCCGAGCGAGCGCTCCGGTGCCCCCGGCGAGGTGGGGGCGAGGAGAGGGGGTGGGGGCCACGGGGCGGCCGCAAACCCCAGAACTACACACCTAAATCAAGAGAGATACACCGATTAAAACTCTTTCTAGTCCCCCCATGGCCCTCCCCACACGGGGGGTCGGTGAGGAGGGCTGCCCCCCACAGTGCTGCTCGGACCCCACGCGCTCGGGGACGTCGCACGGGGGCATCACGTGCCCCAGGCTGCGGTGTCCAGCCGTCGCGAGCGTACAGAGCAAGCGCCGAGACCGTCGTGGTCGCCCCGTCAACGTCCAAACTCAGCAGCGATCCTCACGAGGCCACGTGCCCCGAACCTGGGAGGGGGGCTGCCTTGGCAGAAGCTGGCGGAGAAAGGGGCAGGTCTGGGGACCCCCGTCGGGGACTTCCCACAGAGAGCCAGGCAGCTCCAGCCCACCCCGCAAGAGGCCCTCTCCGGGGACCCTCCTTTTCCCAGGGCCGCCCTCCACACCCTTTGGAGAAGCTGGGCTGCAGGATCCCCGACCCCGCCGGGGCTCTCCGGCAAGACGGGGGGAAGCCACCCCGTGTCCCCGGCGCGTTCCGCCGGCGGGCGCCCCGTGCTCTGCACACGGCCCCCCGCAAGCCCTCGGCCGGGGGCCCTGCAGCGCTCCCGGGGTGGCGAGCCGCCCCCCGTCCTCCCGCGGGAGGAACCAGAAAGGAGCAACGTCGGGATGCCTCGAAGCCCCTCAAAGGAAAAGGCGGGCGGGCCCAAGGGCAGCCCGGCACGAGGCGAGACTCGCGGGGCGGAGGGCCAGTGGGCCGGCTGGGCGGCGGGGAAGGGGGCTGCGCACCGCACGGGATCGGGACCGGGCTCCCCTCCCGCCACAGCAGTCCGTGAGGATGATCACTGAAGCTTGCGAGTTGAAAGGGAAACGACACGCACGTGACAGGGCAGCTGGCCGATCCGAGCCGGGCCCCCCCCCCCGAGGCCTCTGCCCCCGTCGCCCGCCCGCCCTTCTGTCCGTCCGTCCGTCCGTCCGTGGGCGGCCTCTGCCTTATCTGTACCCTGGGTGCTGGATGTGAAGGCCACGACTGTCGCTGGGCTCGGCCCCGCGGGGCAGGCCGGGGCGCAGGGGGGCCTTCCCCAGCGCCCCCCCGCCGCCCGGCTCGCGGAGGCAGGAGTGCTGGAAGGCGCCCCCCAGGTACTCGGCCGTCTGCAGCGGGCCGCCCGGGCCGGCTCTCTGGAGGGGTCCTGCCGCGCACTCCAGGGCGGCCCCCGCGGGCGGCAGGCCCCCCGCCCCGTGGAAGGGGGCGCCCAGGTCCTGGGAGCCCGAGCTGTCGCTGTTGGGGGTGGGCAGGAGGGTGCTCCAGAGGGGCTGGAAGTAGTGCCCGTTGGCGTAGTGGGCCGGGCCGGGCAGGCCGTTGGCGGGCGGCGAGGGCGGCGGCTTCTCCAGCGGGGGCTTGGCGCCGAAGGGCGGCCCCCCGCACAGCTCCAGGGCGTAGCCGGGGGCCTTGCCGGCGAAGGCCTGCCGGGGCAGCTCCCGCACGGGGGGCTTGCCCATCGGGCCGGGGGGCCCCACGGGGGCCTCGCCGCACAGCTGCTGCAGGTGCGCGAGCTGGTGCTGGTTCCAGGCGCCGAGCTGCTTCAGGTCGCTCTGGTACGAGGCGGGCGCCCGGCCGAGGCCGCCCAGCGGGACCCCCGGCGGGGCCCCGGCGTGCTCCCCGGGGTGGGCCGCGCAGGCGGGCGGGGGCGCGGGGGCGTGGCGGGCCGAGACCCGGCTGCTGGCGGCGATGAGCAGGCTGCGGCCGATGGGGCTGGGGTTGGCGATCTGCCCCTCGCACACGGAGGTGGCGCCGCTGCCCGCCCGGGCCTGGCAGAACTGGCTGATCTGGCGCACGATGCGGGTTAGGTCCGGCGGCTGGCTGTGCTGCAGCGCGGCGGCCATGGAGAGCGGGATGGTCGAGGTAGAGACGGTCACGTTGGGGGGCGCGTCGGCGTCGGCCATCTTCCGGCCCCCGTGCAGGCCGGGCTGGGGCGGCGGCGGCGGCGGCGGCTGGAGCAAGTGGCCGGCGGGATGCGGCGGCGGCGGCTGCAGGGCCGGGGGGATGCCCTGAGGAAGCGGGGCCAGGCCGTGGAGGTGCGGCAGGGCCGGCGGGCGGGCCAGGCCCGCGGGGTGGCCCAAAGTGCTGGGTGCCGGGTAGGGGGCGGAGGGGGGGTTCATCATGGCGTCCGGCAGCGGGCGCGTCCGGCTCCCGTCAAAGTCCTTGACGACGCCCTTGGCCGGCCGGCGGACTATGGCCAGGAGGCCCGCCTTCACGGCGGCCTGCGACGGCGGGTACGGGCTGTACCTCGGCCCGGAGGTGTCCAGCCCGTTCACAGTGCGGCGGACGTGCTTCCGCTGGGGCACCTTGACGCTGTTGGGGAAAATTTTGATAGTCAGAGGGTGGTCGGCCACCTTCTTAGCATACGCGTCCAACTCGGCTGGAGTGGGGTGCTGTGCGGCTCTCATTTTCTGTGTAGTGTCCCCTGGTGGGGGGTGAGGAGGAGGAGGAGGAGGAGACGGGCGGGAGGAGGAGGAGGAAGGCAGAGAGACAGAGAGAGCGAGAGGAGAGAGAGCGAGAGAGAAAGAGAGAGAGAGAGAGAGAGAAGCCATCAGCACTGACTCAACCCAACAGCCAGTGCCGTTTTCAAAGAACGTAAGAGCTGCTCGGAGCCGGACGGGGCCCGACGGCCCCGCTGCGAGGAAGCGTGGGAGTGGGGCTGGGAGGGCGGCAGCGACCCCGGGCTCCCCCTCCGCCCCCCGTCCCAGACGGCGCCAGCCCTCGGAGGGTCCGCCTGGAAGCTTTGCGAGCGGCTCCGGCTCAGTCTTCCCACGCCGAGGCCCTCCGGATGAGCTGGCCTTCCGCTCCCTGGAGCTCCCGGCCAGCGGGATGCTGGGAGTTGTAGTCCCAGCACATCGGGAGGGCATCAGGCCGGGGAAGGGCCCCTCGGCGAAGTTTCCAAGGCTGCCGCAAGCCGTGCGGGGGGCTTTCCCTGGCGCCGCTACGCGGATCTATTCCCCCGGGGAATCGGGAGATCACGCAAGATCTCTCATGGCTGGCCTTCAGAGAACCTCGCCCGGGCTCCTGGGGGAGGGCTGGGCGAGAGAAGGGTTTAAATGTTTAACAGCAAGTGGGGGGAGGGAGATCAGGGGCACGTACAACACCCGAAAAGCGACCAACAGGCTACAGGCCGAGGCAAAAATGAAGGAAGCACCCGAGTTTCCACGCCGGACGTGTTTCCAGATCTTTCTCTTCGTCAAGAGCAGCGATTTCAAAAGACATTGAAAACTGGGCGCAGGGGGACGCGGGGCTGGAAGGAACTGTGCTGCCACTGGGGGGGGGGGCAGACCACCCTCAATTTGATCCACAGGCCCAGGCACAAGCCCACCCGTGTACCATGTGCGAATGGAGCCCCGTCTCTGCCCGGGGTGCCAGAGGAAGGCCACGCTGGCTCCATGGGGCGAGGCCGTGCGCCAGGAGTCCAGGGCAGGCGGGGGATCACCCCCGGCCACGGGCTGCCCACCCCGAGGTTCCGGGGGTCGCACTGGGGGCCCCCCAACCTCAGAGCTCTGCAGTGAGTCCCGGGGGAGCCTTCCGCATCCGGAGCCTTTCCCCGTCGGGACCCAAAGGACAGGGCCTGCCAGCCGTGGCCTCCCTCCTTGCGGAGGCGCATTCGAGCACCAGACCCACGCGAGGCAAAGCGGGGGGCCTGGAGGAAGGGGGGGGGACGAGGACTCCGCAGCAAGCAACTGCGGTGAGCGGCCGCCCCCCCACCCCCTTCCCCCGGAGCGACGTGCGGACGGGCGGCGGGCTTCTCGCAACTCGCACGGAGACTCACATTTCTGAGGTCCAGCGTTCATCTGCGGGTACGGAAGCAGCTGGAAGGGGTGGTCGCTTGGCCCCGGCAGGCAGCTCAGCATGGCAGGCAGCCGCTAGCATGCAGACCCTCTGCTCCTCCGCGCGCTGCAAAGACACAAAGCCGCCAGGTCAGGAGGCGGCTCTGGCCCGCCAGAGTCCCCGGGCTGCGGCAGCCGCCCCACGAGGCCCGCCCGCTGGAGACGCTGGGCCACAGTGCCCCCCGCCCAGGCCCCAGGACGCCGAGCCTGGGCCGCTCCTCCGAAAAGATGCTTCCCAAGCTCGGTCAAGCCCACTGCATGCCCAGCCCAAAGGCGTCACTCTCAGGGACAGGTTTTGGGGGGAAGGCGACCCACTGCTGAAGCGTCCAGCAAATGCCGAAGCGGAAGGACAAGTCCGTCCCGTCAAACCGCAGAACCCGCTTCCGCGAGACACGCCGGGGCCCGCTGGCCGGGGGAGCCAAACCCAAGGCTGCCCGCGGCCGCGAGGCATGGGGGCTCCCTCCCGGGTAGGCCTCCCTGAGGCAAGCGAGCCACTCCTGCCCGCCAGACCCTCCCCTGGGGCCGCGACGGAAGCGACCTCGGCCCACCCACCTCGCACACCGCCTCTGGCTCCCCAGCTCGGGGAGGCCCGAACGAGGCAGCGGCACACAGACCCTGCCAGCTGAGGACGCTGCGGGACGAAGCCGGGCCTGTCACCCCGTCCGACGGCACAAGTCCCAGCTCCCCATGCTTCAGCTGCGCTTTCCCACAGCCGGGCCCCCCCCCCCCCACCCACAGGAGGAATGCTCCTAGCAAGGAGGGCCGCCGCGGTCGCACACACCACACAAGGGAGCCACGCCGAGCCCCCGGGCGAATTCACAGGTGCGCAGGGAGAACAGGCTGCGTGTGCTCACGGGCAGGTGGTGCCCGGGGAGGGTCTTGCGGAGACCCGACCCGAGCGCAGTCCTCAAAGCCAGCACCGCAACTCCGCCGCTGGACTGCCCGGCCCAGGCGGCCGAGGACCCGAGACCTCCGGAGGGCCCCGCGGGAGACGCTCCGGGCTCCGTCCAGCTCAGCCCGGCTGCCGCGGGGAAGCGGCTCCAAGGGGCCGGAAATGCTCCAGGTGCCACGGCCCGCTGGAAGCCCCTTGGTGGAAAAGGGGAGCTGCCAGCGGAGCCGGAAGGGCCAGGGCTCCTCTCGGGCTGCCCCTGCCAGCACCGTCGCCCGCCGGGCACACGAATCGGCCCCGGCCCCGGCTCGCGCCCAGCGCTTCTGCGTGCCGCCCTTGACCCCAGGCAGTTGGCTGCAGTCCGCTCCGTGCCTCCCGGGCCGTTGCCCCTTCCCGGCTGCGGAGGCGAGCCTGGCAACGGGGGCCCCACGGCCTCCCGCAAGGGGGGGGTGCAGAGGTGTCCAGCAGGGAGCCACATGCCAGGCGGGGGGCCTCCAGATGTGCTGGGATGCCCCCGCGACCCTCTTCCGCCGCACCAGCCGCCGTTCACTGCTCTCGAAATAAACTTGACCTGCGGCAGGCATGGCCCAGTGGCGCTCTCTTGGATCTATTATTTTATTTTTTATCCGAAACTGTTATTTCTGATCGCTATCAAATGCCCATTTATTATCTTTTCTACGGCTGGAGCTCTTGGTTTGCTATGCACACGCATGCAACTGTCAGGTTTCAGCGAGCGGGGGGGGGGGGGTTTGCACAACAGGCAGCTCTGGCTGATCTTTTGACTGATTTAATCAAGTTTGTTTGCGCAAGAAAGGGGCCTGCAATGGGATCCTACTCAAGTTTACTCAGAAGTAAATTTTGCCAGAGCCTTTGCGTCTGTGTCCCGCGTCTGTGTCCCATGAACACACCTCCTTCAGCTGGATTGTCTTAGTTCCAGGAGCCCGGAACTGCCCTCTTGTAGGATAAAGCTGCCCGTTGGCGTGCAGGAGCAAGCTGCACTGAGCCAGTGGTAGACAGAGGTAAATGAAGGTGCCGAAATAAGATTTGTGTAATGAGAACAGTGCAGAAGTGACCCAACTTCATGGCTTTTTCAAGGGTATGAATTTAAAAGGAACGGAGGAACGGCGTGTGTTTAAAATAGAGGCAGGGAAGGCTTTCAGCCCCCTAGAAACACTCCGTAAGGTGAGGAAGGTCCCCAGAGAGAACTCAAGGCAACCCTGGAAAAATAAGGAAGGTTTAACGACAATTTAACCACCGCAGTCCTCGTGCGGTGAAGGTCGGAATAGGTTTGTTTTGCTTTTTCAGGGCTGTGCGCTCTCTGGGAACCCCGCATCAGTCACGGCGGTATTACTTCCGAGTGCGTGCGAGGGGCCGGGCTGCACAAGCGCAGGAAGCAGAACGAGCTGTTCCGCTCGGAGATATTACCTGATCAGGCCTGCTCAAGTCAGAATCCTGCCCTGGTTCGGGTCGTTTGCAGGGCCCGAGAGGGAGAGTGGAGGACGGCACAGGTCCGTTCCGCTGGCAACCTGCATCTGCCCTCTGCCCCGAGACCCCCGCTCACTTCCCCGCAGCAGGAAGGGGGCAGGTGAGGGAGCCCAGCCCAGCTCCCCGCCGCCTCTGAGCTGCAAACTCTGCCAGCCTGGCAGCAGCCCCCCTGCTCACCTGCAACAGGGCAGGTAAAGCAGAGCACGCGTCTGCATGCCCAGGCTCCGGGAACGTCCGGGAGGAAGCTCACCAAAACACGACCACGCGCAAGCCCCCGGCTGCAAATGCTTCACCGGGAGTACACATCCACCCGTGGCCCAGACGAGTCCCCCCGACCCCGGGTTCCCAGCTCTGCCCTGAACCATTTCAGAATCATTCCGTGTCCGCAGCGACCCGCGTTACAGCCAAACACGCATCTGCTGGAAAGGAAATTCTCCCAGCCACGTGGAAGAGGCTGCCTCAGACGAGAATGAATCCTTTTCCTGTCCCAAGCAGCTTTGTTGGTTCGGAGGGATGGGGCTTTCCAGGGTCCTTTCCCAGCACATGGATCTTCTTAACTGGAGGCGCCAGGACTGGGACCCGCGGCCTTCTGCCTATAGAGCTGGGTGGCTGCCCGAGCGAACTGCGAGCACAGACGCCGGGGCCTCGGGGCACGTGGGGAGAAAGCCTCACCGACACGAGCGGGGCTGGGGGCGAGAGGCAGGCCGCTGCCGTCCAGCTCCAGGGCCTCGGGGTGCCAATGCCCTTCCTCTGCACCATCGCCCTTGGGGAGTGACGCCCAGAAGTAGAAACCGCTCTGCAGCCCCGGACGCGGGCACTCCAAACACGCAGAGGCGGCCGTCCATGCAGACCCAGGCGTGCGCCTCGAAGGGAGCACCGCTGCTGGGCATCCGGAGGGCCCCAAGCAGGCCCGGGGAGGCCTCCTGCCTGAAGTGCTGGAGAGCCGTGGCTGCCGGCCCGTGCCTGCAAGGCTGAGCTAGGTTCTGCGCAAGAGAGGGACCGAGGCACCGGGCCGGGAGCACACCCACGAGCTCTCGCCTGCAGCCGCACTTCTGTCGGCCTGGCCAAGCTCCGAGCGAGCAAGAGCCACGCGCACCTCTTCCCTCCCCGGTAAAGGCCGGTTCAGAAGGAAGCGGATCCCCCGCAGAAAATGGAGCCCGCCATCTCTCCGGGCAAAATGGCGCGAAGGAGAGGCCCGAGCACCACGTGGCGGGAGCACCCCTCTTCCCCACCCTCGGCGGAAAGAGCAGGGCCCCAACGCAATATCCACACAGGCAGCGGCCACCGGCACCCCGCGGTGCCAGGTGACGCAGCGGCTCGGAAAGCGCCGAGCGGTCCACCTCGCACCTTGGCCGGAAGAGCCCCTCCGCACGCCGCATCAGCTGCCTCGCGCGCGTAGGGTTCCCCGCCAGGGTCAGGCACCCCCGGGCAAGGGAGCGGGCTGCCAGCGCTGAGGAAGTCCCCGGAGAATGGCTGCCCTCGACCGGGGCGGACAATATGCCAAGTTAGGCCGACGAGGGAGCGCCGACCTGGCATTCGGTTCCTTAAATTCGCAGGCACCTGAATTCTCACCCAGGGAGGCACGGAAGCAGCATCTTGCCCCCGGTTCCGGCAGCAGGAGCAGAGCCGGCGGAGGGGAGAGGCTCCGGCTGCCAGGACGGGAGGAAACCATCCCAGCTGGCTTCCCGCGCCCCACGCAGAGCAGGCCTCCTGGCCAGGCTGGGAGTGGAAATGGCCGCGTCCTTCGCGAAGAGAAGAGCTGCCTCGGTTCTCCTCGACAGGGCCGGCCCTCGGGCAACTGCGAAGCGACCCCCCCCCCCGGTGCCAGCGAGGTCTGCCTCCACGACGGGGCCAGGATGCCGCAGTGCACCCACCCCACGGCCCGTCTGGGGCAGCCCGACTTGGCGCCGGGTCACCCGAGGCAGGAG